TCCACACCACTCATGATTTTATAGACCTCTATCATATCTACCCTTAGTCTCCTCTTTTCTAAGATGCAAAGTCCAAATCTTTTTAATGTCTCTTCATATGGGACTCATTCCAAACCCCTAATCATTTTTGTTGCCCTTTTCTGAACCTTTTCCAATGCCAGTATATCTTTGAGATGAGGCAACCACATCTGTATGCAGTATTCAAGATGTGGGCGTACCATGGATTTATATAGAGGTAATAAGATATTCTCTGTCTTATTCTCTATCCCCTTTTTAATGATGCCTAACATTGTTTGCTTTTTTTCACTGCCGCTGCACACTGAGTGGATGTTTCCAGAGAACTATCCACAATGACTCCCAAGATCTCTCTTGAGTAGTTGTAGCTAAATTAGCCCCCATCATATTGTACATATAGTTGGGATTATTTTTCCAATGTGCGTTACTTTACATTTATCAACATTAAATTTAATTTGCCATTTTGTTGCCCAATCACTTAGTTTCCTGAGATCTTTTTGAAACTCTTCAGAGTCTGCTTTGGTCTTAACTATCTTGAGCAGTTTGGTATCATCTGCAATTTTTGCTTCCTCACTGTTTACCCCTTTCTCCAGATCATTTATAAAAAAGTTGAATAGGAGGGGCAGCAAACAGTGGTAGCAGTGCAATTGGCTGCTAGGTCAGCAGGGGCTCCAGCCCAAAACGTGCTGACCAGAGGCACTTAACAGGCCTCACTATTCCCTGAGTCACTTCAGAGCTCCCCCTCAGTGGTAGCAGTGCAATTGGCTGCTAGGTCAGCAGGGGCTCCAGCCCAAAACGTGCTGACCAGAGGCACTTAACAGGCCTCACTATTCCCTGAGTCACTTCAGAGCTCCCCCTCAATGTGTACCTGGGCATCAGGTTGGTTTCTCAGGGGTTCCCGGATTGTTGGGCCCAGCTCGGGTCCAGGCCAGTCCTCAGCAGCTTGTGAGTCCAGTGGCTCCAGCTGCTTCTCGGGTGTAGGCAGGCTGGTCCTCTGAATCAGGCCCATGCCAGTCCTTGGCCCCTTGCAGGTCCAGTGGTCCCCACT